CAGCTACCTACCTCCTGACATATTAGTCAGGAGCACTTACTGATACTTCCAGATGCATGCTTCATCATGTTCTTCTTCTGGTCCAAGGTGTTCTCATTCAGATTTTTTTTAAATGTAAAGCTGATTAAAAATATATTTGTTTTTGCTTATCACTTCTTTAGCCCTTTGCTATAACATCAGAAATTTAATTTCAAAAAGACTTGACTTGTCCAGAACTGCACGCTTCATTGTTCAACCTCCTGAGAAAGGACAGGGTGATGCTGTCCAAATCAAGGGAACAATGTGCTTCAAATAAAAATTTTCCCAGTTTTGTTTTCAATTATACTATAACAAAAGATGGTATTCTAGGAACAGAACTATTTGCTCTGAGATTTGTTTTTCTCCTTAAGTGTTGTCTTTCTTCTCTGAACACAGAGTTTGATCACAAATCATACTCTGAATAATTTAAGCTCTTAATTTGATAACTCTCTGTTCTTAAGGAGCTCTGGTGGTACAGTTGTTGGGGTATTTGGCTACTAACCAAAAGGATGGCAGTTTGAACCCACTAGCCACTCCATGGGGCAAAAAAAGAGGCAGTCTGCTTCTGTAAAGATTTATAGCATTGGAAATACAATGGGGCAGTTCTACTCTGTCTGGTAGGGTTGCTATGAGTAGGAATCGATGGAGTGTCTGTTCTTAGCAGAGTTTCGTAATAGAGAGAAACCTTACTTACTCCTGTCTGAAACTGTCTGAATATTACTGGGTTGGCCAGAGTGGATTATTACTTTTGGAATCTGGTTTGGAGGATATTAAAAGACCACTTGTCTCCAAAATATCTCTTCCCCAGTAGCCTCCAACTCTTTCCTTTAGAGTGAATTTTTGGAGACTTTTGAAATGAAGTCTCCAAAAGGTCTTGGTTAAAAGAAAGGGCTACTATTTGGAAGTCAATGAGGAAAACCTAATTAAAAAACCTTGCCACCAGCTGCTCCTTGGGAGAAAGATGAGGCAATCTGCTTCCATAAAGATTTACAGATCTGGAAAGCATATAGGGCAGTTCTACTCTGTCCTATAGAATTGCTATGAGTTGGAACTGACTCGAAAGCAGTGGATTTGGTCTTTGGTATTATAGTGGCTTTGGGTTACTGTGATACTGGAAGCAATACTACCAGTGTTTCACATACCAGCAAGGTCACCCATGATGAGCAAGTTACGGTGGAGCTTTCCAGACTAAGACAAGGAAGAAAGGCCTGGCAATCTATTTCTGAAAAGCAGGCAATGGAAACCCTACAAATCACAACAAAGTATTGTCTGATAAAATGCTGAAAATAAGCCTCATAGTTTGGAAGTCACTAAAAATACACAGTGGCTGCAACCATGGATTGGGACATACCAGTGATTGTGAAGGTGGCACAGGACCTGGCAATGTTATTCTGTTCTACAGAACTTTCTGATGAGCTGTAGCCCACTCAATGGCAGCTAGCAACAACAGCCTCTTAGCAGCTTGTTCACTTAAGGAAATTTACACCTTGAAAAGCAGGGCAAGAATTTGAGGGTATAGATCATTTGACAGTCAAGTTTTAATCAAGGCAGATCATTGTGGTAGACCACAGGGAGGTGCCCAGGCATTACCTAGGCAATCATAGCCTGTGGAGGGGAAAAGAGCAATGAACACAAACTTTCCCAGTAAGTGCAGGAGAAATGTTAATTATAATTTCAGGGGAAGTTAGAGCCCTTAATAAAACCCACAAAATCTATTTAGCAGCACCATCAATGGATCAAAGAAATGATGACCAAGGAGTGACTTCAGTCAGCAAAGAAAAAGTCTTCCTGTTCCTACCTCAAGGTCATTATTTATGACTTAGTTGTTAGCTTTAATTTAGTTGATATTTATTGAGCAACTACTTAGCTTAGTGTGGTGCTAGGAATGTAAAATGAGTATGATAATATTTGTATAAGGAACCCTGGTAGTACAATGGTTAAGCACTCAGCTGCCAACTGAAAGGTTGGTAATTGGGACATGCAGCAGCTCTGCAGGAGAAAAGACCTGGCCATCTGCTCCCATAAAGATTACAGCCTAGGAAACCCTCTGGGGCAGTTCTACTCTGTCCTATATGGTCACTGTGAGTCAAGATCAACTCAGTGCCACATAACAACAATCATATTTGTATTTAGCCACAAGCAAAATATATCACATACATTTGTCATTAAACCCTGGGTGGTATTCTTGTCATCTTCATCCCTTTTTTGCAGGTGAGGAAACAAAGTCCAGAAAGATTAAGTAGTTTGTGGAGGTCACACTGCTAGTGTTCATGGCTGGGATTCAGATCCAGGCAGTTGAACTGTAGATGCTAGAGTTGAAATAGTAGGCCACTACACTCCTTGGAAGGAAGGCTGGGCAATCCTACTTCTGTAGTGATACTGCCTCGGAAACCCAAGGAAGGGTCGCTATGAGTTGGGGCCAACTTGACAGCATATAACAACAACATGGTGTATTGAGAAGTCACAACATGGTATGAGATCATCTGAGAATGTGCTTCTGAGCTGCCTTATAGGCCACATCAAAAGTAAGAAGGAATTCTTTATATTCTCATTCAAGTATCATTTACTGAGTGGTTGCTATTTGCCAGAGCACCTCGTCATACAATTGGTTGAGGCACTCTGCTGCTAACTGAAAGTTTGAAAGTTCAAGTATACCCAGAGGCACCTCAGAAGAAAGGCCTGGCAATCATCTTCCAAAAAATCAGCCATTGATAATCCTGTGGAGCACATTTGTACTCTGACTTACATGGGGTCTCCATGAGTGAGAATCAACTCAAGGAAAACTGACCCTTGCTAAGTAGTAGAAATACAAAGACAAATGAGACTAACGTTTGTCCTCAAGGAGCTCACAGGCTATTAGACTAAGCAATTCTGTAAACAGAGCTTTTCAGGAAAGTCTGATAAGTGACTTGAATGGAGTCATACACAGATTGCTGCAAGAGCAAAAATGTGGGAGTCTGCAGTGCTTATAATGCTCCGCAGCCTGACTGTGCCCAGATAGGACATGCCGTCTCTTCAGTAACTCATGAGGAGTCAGGTCCAAAGAAGACCTCCTTTCCTGACTGCAGGGAACCTTCTGTGATAGTTGCTCATTCTTCAGCATGTGCTTGTCTTCCCAGTAGTTGGAGAATTGTCTTAGCAAACACACCCATCTCATAAAGCATGCCAGGCAGAGACAGTGGTGGAGGTGCATTTGTATGCATGTTATGGTGCTGCAAAGATGGAGAGAAGAGCAGGATTCTATTTGGATCATACTATCACTTGGAATAAAAAGAGGAAGACTTGCCCTGTCAAAGGCTCTCTGTGTGACCTCAGGCAGGTTGCAGAGACTTTCTGTATTTAATTGATCTTCATCCCCTAAAATGAAACACAGAGGTGCTAAAATTTGTTTCTCTACCTTTATTCTTGGTTGTTGTTGTGGCCTGTGGTGGCATCATCCCAGCCTCATGCACAACTGAATGAAACACTGTCCAGTCCTGAGCCATCGCCATGATCCCTTACAATCACACTGTTGTGATCCACAGAGTTTTCACTGGCTGATTTTTGGAAGTAGATCACTAGGCCTTTCTTCCTAGTAGTCTGGAAGCTCTGCCGAAACCTATTCAGCATCCCAGCAACATACAAGCCACCACTGACAGATGAGTGGTGGTCACATTCAGTGCAATGGCCAGGAGTCAACCTTGGGCCTCCTGCATCAAGGGCAAGAATTCTACCACTGAAACAAATGCCTCCATGTCCATATGTTACATTTTAGATACAAGGGTTAAAGCAGGGAGACCCGTTAGAGGCTATTGCCATAATACAAGTTAGTGATAGCAGTAGCTCGGAAATTTTCCATCACCTCAAAATATTGAAGGGAGAAATTTTAAAAGGAAAAGTGCATAAATACAAGATAGTCATTTTCATTAACAATGTTGGCATAGAGCCTAATTGTGATATTATTATTACCAAGAGTATGGTAATCTCTTGCTTCATTCATCTGTTCAACAAATATTTATTGACCACCAGTTGTGTACCAAGCCCTCTGTTAGGCATTAAACACACACAAAAAAAACCCACTGCCATCGAGTTGATTCTGACTCATGGCAACCCCCTTTGGGTTTCCAAGGTGGTAAATCTTTACAGAAGTAGATTGCCCAGTCTTCCTTTTGTGGAGCGGCTTCTGGTTAGTAATCAAATGCCTTAGGCACTATGCCACCAGAGCTCCTTCTGTTAGGCACTGGGGACAACAAATAAGATCTGACCTCTCTCTGCTTTTAGGATGCTTACAGTGAATTAGGATTATAGAGATCACCAAAAATATAGCTATCATCATTGTCATCACCAACAATGGCAGCAGCAATATAATCACTTTATAATGGTAATGAAAGCATTAATCAAAACTTTTTGAGTGTTTACTATATTCCAGATATGATGCCTATGGATATTACTGTGATTATAATAAAACCAAATTCACTGCTGTAGAGTCATTTCCAACTCATAGCGACCCATTCTTGGGTTTCCGAGGTGGTATCTCTACAGAAGTAGACTGCCCAATATCCCTTCCAAGGAGTGGCTGGTGGATTTGAACTGCCAGCATTCTGTTTAGCAGTCAGATGCATTAGGCACTATACCACCAGAGCTCCTGTGATTATAATATATGATTGTTAATTATTATTATATATTGATGCTATTCATTGTAACCAAGCAAGACTGCTACAGAATTATGTAACTAATGACCAAAAGCCTAAAAGTCAGTGCTGCTTCTGTACTCTACAATCAAGCATTACTAATGATTTTCCCACTTTTGGACCTATCTAAAACTGAGTCCAGAAAATGCATGTTCCATTTTTTCCAAATGTCTTCTTCCTCTATAAAGTCATGTTACTAGTACTTCATCCTCACTGTTTTTGTCAGCCTATGTAAGTCTTTATTGTATTTTTTTTTCTTTTATTTAGCTGCTTTGAAGACTGTTACGCTGCAACAGCTGCTGGGTCCCCAAGATGGTGCCATCCAAGTTGCATATGCTTATCTGCCTCTGCAACTGCTTCACACTGATTCATCCTTTTGACTGGCAAAGCCTAAATCCTGCTGCCCAGATTCAATCATCAGGTAAGAATTACTTTTGTTAAAAGACTTGAGCAGTTAACATGTTACAGATGGCCTCAGAAAAGTTTTATGTAGGTAGGACCACTAAAGCAAGTATTATTGCGAAGAATGCTCCTGAAGGCATGCTGTTCTCCTGGGGTTTGAGTGAGAGCTTCATTTTCTTTTAGTTCCAGCTGGAACTGAAGAAGCTTCTCTCTTCTTCAATAGCATGACTGACAGATAGAACCAGAATGAGACATTTTAAGAGAAACTGGAATCTCAGCTTGCAATCACCGTGGAGAAGTTCCTCAATTCTACCTCTTCCCTACCTCAGTGCCCTAGTCACTCCCACTTAAATGCAATAGCACAACAACCCTGCAGTTCACTCAAAGACAACCTCAAAACCTGCTTTCACAAAGGTGAAGAAGGGACAGGTGTCTTGATCAACAGGCATGGTCCTGGTTAGTAATTGGAATAGTGTGAGAAGATGGCAAGTCAGGGTCTTGGGATCCAGAGGGAAGCAGTCTTTTCTGCCTAACAGAGAGACCTAGGAACAAATTGGTACTAAGAGGCTCCTGGTGAGAACTGACCTTCCTCACTTGCTTTTTCTTACTGTGTAATGGGAGGGAAGGAGAAGAGATAGATGAAGGCTTAGGCAAGCTAGGAAGAGTGACCAGCCCTTCATTGCTGGGAGAGTGCTTATGGAGCCTTGTGAATTCCTACTAATCTCTGAGAGACATGTGGCATGAAATTCCCTATCTAGTCTCCTAATGGAAGCAGTATAGGTGGTCTCTGAATGGTATTCCACTGTCTGTGCCCACAGATCTATGCACCTCGATAGATATGGTCACTCTGAATCTAGTTGTTCAGGCTTGATGGGTGACTCCTTAGCATAGCATTTATTGAAGAGCTTTCATAACCCAGTAACTTATAAATATGTTCTGCCCAACATTATAGTTGAGGAAATGAATGAATTAGTAGAAGAAAGGCTATATCTTATATCTACATTTGCATAAGAAATGGAATAATATCTCACAGGTCTATTCATTTAGTAATATTTTTTTGGAAGCTAAAGGTGCTAGTGACTAAGACAAAGAGCTTTCACTCAGGTTCAAGGAGCTTGCAGTCTAGTTGAAATTAAGTTCATTTTTCCCGTAGCCTTTTACATGATGGGCAAATTACCACCTAGAAGACATTTACATCATTCACTTTTTCTTGGTACAGGGTGAGAATCTTAAAACATGTTTTATATCCCCTAAATTTTAAACATGAGTTTAAAATTAACTGGTCTGCAGAAACTTGAGAAGAGGGACACTGTCTTATTCATCTCTGTATTGACAGACTGAGCCAATGCCCTCTCTATACATTGTAAGTTTCAAAAAAAGAATGGATGATTTTTTCAAAATTACTGGAAAAAAGTATTAAATTCTTTATAAATTTTTTATTGAATGGATAGATTTTAGCTAGATATGACGCTGCAGGTAAAAGATTTGTATGTATGGGATAAAACAAAAAAAACCAAACTCATTGCCATCGAGTCAATTCTGACTCATTGCAACACCCTTTGGGTTTCCAAGGCAGTAAAACTTTATGGAAGTAGATTGTCCGGTCTTCCTTTCACAGAGTGGCTAGTGGGTTTGAACAGCCAACCTTCTGGTTAGCAGTCAAATGCTTTAGGGACTATACCACCAGAGCTAGAGATAACTTATTTGCTAATGTAGGACAGAAAGCCATGCAAGAGAATGTTATTTTACTTGTTGTTGTTGTTGTTATGTGCCGTCGAGTCAAACCCGACTCATAGCGACCCCTCCTTGGGTTTCCGAGGCAGTATCACTACGGAAGTAGGATTGCCCAACCTTCCTTCCGAGGAGTGGCTGGTGGGTTTGAACCGCCAGCCAGCTGGTTAGCAGGCAAGTGTCTTAGCCACTCTGCTACCAGAGCTCCTGTTATTTTACTAGCTTGTGTACAATTCATCTTCAAAGCTTGGACTGAATATCAAGAATACCTGACAATTACATGCCATCACACATATGTAAATAAGAGTAATAATATATCACCAGGTCTCAATGCTGCTATTAAAATAAAGTGAAGAATGTGCTCACTTCTGCAGCGCATATGCTAAAATTGCAATGATACAGAGAAGATTAGCATGGCCCCTGCGCAAGGATGACACACAAATTCGTGAAGCGTTCCATATTTTTCGACAGATGCTAAAACCAACCAATGTGTCCACAATACCACATTGCCATTAACACCAAACACTAGGCTATACAGATAAGCACATAAACACCTGAGATGATCAGACAGGGGTCAGTGAATAGAGATATAGACCAAGGATATATTCAGCTGAGGCTAATCTTGCACAGACACCAGTGATACAAAATACCTGCCGTCCTTACAGAAACAATAGAAGACAGACACAGAATAATCCCTCACAGATATCCCAACACTATGGGAAAGAGATCCAATAGATCTACTACCTCAGGACCATGGTAATGGGGTATACCAGACTCGATTGGCACAACAAAATACATAAAAGCGTTATTCCACATCCTACATTGGTGAGTAGTGACTGGTGTCTTAAAAGCTTTCAAGCAGCCATCTAAGATGCAGCTAATGGTCTCCTAGCATCAGAAGTGAAAAAGAATGCAAAAGAAAAAAAAAAAAAAGGACATTTAGAAGCAATGAGCCCTAGGACATGATGGCCCTCAAAACAGAAGAACTGGATGGTGCCCGGCTACCAATGCCAACCACTCAGGAAAAGATCAAGTCTGGAAATCCTGGATAGAGTGGGAGGGAAAACATGGAACAAAATCCAAAAACTCAGTAGTGACCAGAATTACTGATCAGATGAAATCTGGTGAGACTCCCAATACTATGGCCCTGAAATACATTCGGTGCCCGGAATAAAACTTACCCCCAGGGGCAGTCTCTCAGCCCAATAGTTAACAAGATGTACACACAGACCACTCAACCCAGGATGCCGCACCCACACACTCAATGGTAATACATCCTTTAGAGCAATAGACCATGGGACACCAGAGGACCAACATTCAAACTGAGGAGATATAAGACAAACAGGAGTGCATAATTATGAGGGGCACAGAGGGAGGGTTGCAGGGTAGGGAGGGGAGGGGAGGAGACTGGGTTAGGGTTGGGCATGGTGAATGGGGAATGAAACTAAATGTACGCATGACATTGAGTGTAAAACAAGCTCTTAAAATAAAAATAATAATTTTTAAAATAAATAAATAAAATAAAGTGAAGAAAATCAAAACCAAATCCACTGCCATCAAGTCAATTCCAACTCATGGCAACCCTATAGGACAGGGTAGAACTGCCCCATGGGGTTTCTAAGAATGTAAATCTTTATGGAATCAGACTGCCTCATCTTTCTCCCATGGAGCAGTTGGAGGGCTTGAACTGCTGACCTTTTTGTTAGCAGCCAAATGCATTAACCACTGTGCCACCAGAGCTCTTCAAAGAGGAAGAGACACTTATAAATTCTGACAAAAAACTATGTCATCTAAAGTGAGCAGTTAGCCTGACAAGTATCTTCCTTTATGATGAGTCCTGGTAGATTGAGAATGGAAGATTCAGGACCGTGTCTGAGCTAGCTGCATGTTGGTGATTTGTTTTTGTAGCCACCTTCCAACTGGCCAGCCACAGGACTCTCTAGACCCATTTCCAAACCTGGGTGAGTTCACAGTTTCCTGAGACCATCTTAGGGGTCACATATCTTGGAACAGACAGCCCTAGAACTTCAACTTGACTTGTGGGCCCTGAATTTCAGGTGAGGAGGCTTCTCAGATAGAGCTGGTGTTGGAGACCAGGCATTCATAGGTAATTGGAAAAGGTTCTCAGGGCCCAGATGGAATTGCAGTCCCACAAAGGGAGGCTTGTGCAGGCTGGGACACTCTCACACTTCTACAACTGCACTCACAGTTCCCAAGGTAGGGTCTCCAAAGCAGCTGCAAGTTCTCTGGAGCTGTGTACCCTGGAGGTTTCTCAACCACCTCTTTATAGCTACAAGATGGCTACCTATGGGGTGGGGTGCAGCAGCTTGCAGGCTACTCATCACTGGAAACACAGGCAGTCATGGTCTACCTTGCTGTCCTCTGAATCTGATATCTTCCTATTACACCATGAAGCATGGCAAAGTAGAAATTTTTTAATGGGAGAGGAAGAGCCCTTTAGAATTTTAAATAAATCCTGACTTTATAGCCTTACTGGCAAAGTATAAATTAAAAAAAAAAAAATCACTGAGGAAATGTCCTGACAGATGAAAATTCTGAATCTGCCCAGAGGAAAATTGTTATGCTCCAAACTAGATTTGCTAAAACTCCTCTAAGGGCTTCACCATGCATTTGGGTAACAAGTTAACAAATGCTAGAGAAGGGGACTGATATCAGTTGTCCACCTGTTATGTGTCAGGTTGTGAGGTAGGTCCTTGACCTACATTATCACTTCTTCCTTACTGCTGCTCTGGGGGATGGTCTCCAACCATCAGAGAGGTGGTATAAATTGCCTAGGCTAGAGTATTGAAGCTGGTAAGAGACACATCTGGAATTCAAAGTAGGATCTCCTGGCTTCAATATCCAGGAACTGTCCATTCTCACTCTGCTACCTTCCTGGAAACTTTCTTTCCCCATTTGAAAATAGATTGCTGACCTGTTTTTCAGGCCAGGTGGCCTGGTGCCTTAGCTAAGAACTTATATGGACACATCTTCTTTGATTCAGTAGAATAGAGGTGAATGCCTGAGATTCTGTGTTTTCCAGCTCCCAGATGGTACTGGTCCACAGGCTCCAGTTAGAGTAGGAAGGCTTAATTATTGAAAGAATTCATGGTTGGCAGTTGCTTCATAAATGAATCACTTGTTTGGAGTATATAAATGGTCTTCTTCCAATGACTCAGAACCTTTCTGGGTCATGCTACATGATAGCAATGCAGGTGTCATACCTAACAAGGATCTTGTTGTCTGAGTGGCAGAAGCAGAGTATGATGGCAAGCATGAGTCCATCGT